CAGCACTTAAAACATCGCATTACTGCAATATGTTCAAAAACCGGAAAGCTGTCCCACTCTAAGAATACTTTTATGCTATTTCCCAAACATTTAAAAATGGCTGGCGATACTTCTAATATTACATTATAGGACTTCTTATTGAATGGGATATATTTTCTAATGAACTTAATATCCAAATCTAACCCACTTAAGCAGTTTTGACTTTTTATGCGATGCAAAAAAGCTTCTACATCATCAAGATATTGTTCATGTATAGGTACCAACAATCAACAATTTGAGAAGAATTAAATTTGGAATGTCAACGTAGTTTTCTGATAATACGGCATTTGCTTTATTTTGGAGTTTTTCTAAGGATTCCTAATCTTCGCACTGAATAATAACAGAACCATGGCCCACAGATTTTAGGCTTTTTATTTCTACTGATAAATCAGTTCGATTTATTTTTTGCGTGATGGCATTTTTGGTTGCTTTGCTATCTTGATTTGGATTTGCATTTTTTGGTCTTATTATTAACGGTGGATTTTTTTGCTTAACGATGTCTGACCATAGTTGATTTGGCCGTGATGGTTCCCTACGTTCTAAATGCTGCACTAGGTTCTCCGTATGCGTTTTCAACTCTTGCCAAACGTTCGCTTATCTTAATTTTTTCAGGCACTGATATTAAACAATCATCGCAAATCCAAAACAAATTTTTAGAGTCACTAATAACTTTTTGTAACTGATCTTTAACATTAATGCAATGTGGCAAAAGTCACAGGTCACATACTTTTTGTTTACAATAAAGTTGTCGCTGCAGCGGGAACACAATTGTGTACACACGGACATACTGAATACGACCCTGGATTTTTTATTTCAGATTCTAAAATCTGTTTTTTTTTTAAAGATACCTAATTCCCCAAGTCAAAAATTTAGTAACTATGTTGGCAAAACAAGCCTTTTCTACATAAAAAATTTGAAAGCATTGACAATTTTACATTGTATTGCCAACATAATGTCATTTTGACTTTTATCTTTAAAAAAAAAAACAGACTTTAAGAGCTTCTGATGTCTCAAAACCTATGACGTATCGCATTTATTCCAAAAAAATTTTTTGCTTTTTAGTAATTTCTTACCAAAATTCTCTTCTCTGTCTCTGTCTAACACATTTAGTTTTCATGGAAAGTCCAATAATATAAATTTTTCGAATATGTGCAATACGTCATTGGTTTTGGGACATCAGAAGCTTATAAAATGTAAAATAAAAAATAAGGGTTCGTATTTAAAAAAAACAATTTGATGATGGTGGCCCAAATTTCGTCTTTGGGCCACCATTACGTCAGATTTTAAATTTGATGGTAGGATCTTGTAGAGAAGAAAAAGTGACAACGATGAGATGATATTTAATTTGGGATATCTCTTCAAATAAGCTCAGAAAAAAATAAAAACGCTTTTGTAAAATTTCGGTTTATTCCGAATATTTCCGGAACTATTCGGAATTTTTAAATTTTCAAAACGGTATTTTGTTAAGCATAAAATTATGCAACTTTGCCTCGATTTAACCGACCTCGTATCTCTTTGGTTTCCGAGATTCCCATGCACACACTCGAATTTGTAACACCCTGTATATCTGAAAATTGGGGTAAGTTTGATAATCTCAGCTGCCAATGTGAAATGTGCAACAAACATAAAAATTACAACTGGAAAAGAACATTTTCAATGACATAAATATAACCACGCCGAAGCCGCGCCGCATCGCGTCTTCCATTCTCTTTTAGACCCTGACATAGGGACTGTTTAGTGAAGTCATTTTTTTTTTGTCTGGTTTTTTGAGATGATGTTAAATTGTCAGGCTTTTCCGGCTTTTGAATAAAAGATTGACATTGATAAATAATTCACCCATAAAAAATGCCAGATGATTTTCAATTACTGAAAAAGTGGGGATGCAACTTGCAAGAGAAAAGTATGGAACTTTCCGGATTAACTTTCTGTCTGGCAATTGAGAGAATGAAAGGTTTTGTTGTGAAAAATCGCCAGACATTTCGAACAAGGAGCAGGCATTAAGACCACTTATATTCTCATCAGCTAACTAGTCAGATTCAGCCCTCAAAATGCCAGACAAAAAAAAATTACCACTAAACATTCCCTAACTCAGAGTCTATTTCTACAACTCTGCATCCCCACCAGCCGCTACAGGTTCTAACACAAGAAATTAATAATTACTATACTAAGCTACCCGTTAGGATAGGAAAAGATTTGGTGAAGCACTTCAACTTCCACTTTTATCGTTGAAAGCCAGCACCTACTCCACTGTTTTTTTTTTTTTTCAACAAACATAATACTTATAGCACATTTTTATCGAAGAGGTTCGAATATAGAAGAAACCTCTAATAATTTTTTAATCAGAACCTCCAAAATAAAACTGCATCAAAATGAAACCTTTATTAAAATCGTACAAATTAGATTTTTAATGAACCATCCGTGGATTATAAGCTGCCGAGGGCACTCAATTCTTAACAATTTTTAAATTTTCGCTCGCCGTTTGCTCCCTCACGATCGTTTTTCTGAAGGGTGCTCCAAACTCTATACAAGCAGAAAATAGAGACAAAAGTGTTATGCCACCACTTGATTTTTCAATTGAAAAATAATTTTATTACGAAGGGTATAGGTAAATCAATAGAATTTCAATTACAAGTTAGTGTCCCACTCGCATGTGGGATGAAGAAGTGTAATAACAAGAATAATCAGTATCAGTACAGTAATTATTAAACTTTTCCATACAATAAACTTTGCTTATATAATCACAAGGGGGTATTGTTTCATCGGCTTTGTAAAATAACCTAACAGGTTATGAGCCTAGGCCTCGTGGTTTCAGTTTAGTCATTAGAAAAGGTAAATGTGTTTTTGTGCTAAGAAGCAAAACTGACAAATTGTGTCGATTGATAAGTTAGATAAATTTAGGGAATGAAAATTTACAATGAAAGCACTTCTCGAATTGAACATCCCATGGAATGTGGTACAGATAGAAGAGACAGACAAAAAGATTTTTTCCAACATTATTCTGTGAAACGTAGAAACAGCGAATGATTCTGCAGATAGTGAAATTATTAACTTTGTAGTGGAAAGTCAACCTGGTTAAAATATTAAGAAGAGACAATGGCAGAGAAAATGTAAACAGACACATGACATGTGATAGGTACCACAAGAAAAATGGAGAAATAATCAGAAAAACAAAGATTGCAGAAAAAAAAGATGGTATACTTATACTTACGATCATCTTGTGAGTACGGGAGCTGGCATCCGCGAGGCACCCTAGCTGGATCCAGACGCTGCTAATATAGGCGCAGAACCCACGTTCGTTACATCGGTCAGGCGAGAGGTGCTCCATCTTACTTTTTGTAGCCACGATTTCAACGGTAATATTAGAAACTGGCATGAGGCACTACTCCAAAGAACCATCATTTTCGGACCATCGTCAGATAAGATTCGACATTATATTACAACTTCGAAATTGGGAATCAAGAAATTCCGTAGCCCAAAAAGGACAAACTGACACGGCTACGAAACAGCCCTAGAGGAGTCACTGTTGTAAACGGTTGCGGTAACCATCTCCACAACGAAGGGTCTTGACCTGGCAGTAGAACACCAGAGCGAGGCCATACAAGTGACCTTTCAGGAAAACTGTCCGGAGCAAACATAAGGCAACAAAGAAAGGAGACTGTTGGAACAATCACCTGGAGGGTGTTAGATCCTCAGCCACGGAGATGATAGGCCCAGAACCATTCTGTGGAATCTCTGCAGGCCTTTTTAAAACATCTATCAGGAACTGTATAGACAGAGAGTTCCAGAGTTAGTGGTAGCAGGATAATGACAGGCAAAGCAGTTCATCAAATCCTGCTCGCCCAAGTTGACAGCGGACGTACTCAGCCAAAGCCGCAAGATTGTTGGAATAACGGTAGGCCAATTTTGAATTTGCAAACTTAACAAGCACCTGTAAAGAATAAGTCTGGCAGAGGATAGCTTGTACAGGTTCTACCAAGAGGCGGAAGAAACTGCTGTACATGTGTACTGTCACTGCACTATGCTGGCTTTGATTTGCGAGGCTTGGAGAGGAAAAGCCCAATCCGGTAAGCTGGAGTAGCCAGTATCATGGCTCTGGAGTCTTATAAAAAAGACGGGTCTAGAGAATGAGCTCAGAGGACAAATAGGATACACCAAAATTAATCTGACAAGGTTGCAGTGGTAGAGGACGCCTCTTCGCCATCTCCTTTCAAGCAAATCTAATTTAATCTAATACCTACTTACGATACAAATGGAAGAAACAAATCAAGAAAGTTCGTATGGAAGTGAAGAGTCTAGTAATAACAATTCTGAGATGACTTCTGCGTGTAGATACATAATGGAACAGAAGAGATAAGAAACAGGCAAGATCCTACAATTTCTAGAACCAGCAGGTGAATAAACCAAAACTGGAAAATTTTGACATAATATCCAGCCTCTATGACCCCATTCAGTCTTAAGAAGATTCTCGAACATTTGCAGATACTCAGGCATCTATTGTGTGACAATATGCTATCACAAGCCAGGAGTCACATGATAGTCTTCAAATAGCAAAAAGTAGCTGTTCTTGGAGTATTACTAGAGATGCGTTTTTGTTGTCGATTTTTTATTTCTTCTCAAGATTACCTACCGCCCTTTGTGTTCAAAAACATTTTCTCGTATATTTTCAAAACTACTTATTTTAGAAGAATTGTTTAAATTTGAAAGATCTTTAGATTCAGCTGCTCTACAAGACTGAAACCAGAAATGTTGATATTTATCAAAAAAGGGTGGGATGATTAGCTGATGAGAGAAGTCATGGGTAAAGGCTTTCAATACCAATTTTTTTTTCACTGAAAACAATAAAATTGATATAAAACACAAAACAAATTTTGTTTAAAAAAACTGAACATTATTTTTATTGTTAACATTTTTACACTTACAAAATAACGAAATAACCGAAAATTTTGTCATATTGCAAATACAATTTATTTCTAAAACGAAACAAAATCAACAAATAATAAATCGCCCTACAACTATTTATATTATGAATAAATCAACATTATTTATTTATTTATTTTGAATAAAACTAATAAATAACACCCTTATTTTATGCTAATTTATACTTTTTTATTAACATTATTTACATTGTTTTATTTTCTCCTTGCCATTTGCCACTGAATAGGTGTTTAAAATGGGTATTAGCCAAAGATTCAAAAAGTGTATAATATGTGTGTAGGTAGGTATATGAAAAAAAAAAAAAAATATACAAAATTAAAAACTAAAACAAAACATGAGATATCTTTGAGTTATCAAGTTACCTATGAATTCTCAAATTGTTTGAAACGCAATGGAGTTTATAATTCAGAAAAATAATTGACAGATGTGACAATATTGATTTCTAAGAGCTATCTTCTATTCACAATTTAGATCAAAAATGTGCTTAAAGTTATTGTGTTCTTGTTTTGAATAGAAGAAATAGGTGATAAATCCTGTAGGTGTACAATCACCTAAAATTCTGAACTCTCATTCAGGTCAGAACTCAACTAAACATATGAAAAACATCACTCCAGGAGAATGAACAACTTTGAAACAAATAAGATTGATGAAATTAAGATACGCAAAATGTATCAAACAAGAGAAAGTTTTTCCAAAGAGTATAATTTATTCATATAAAACCTACTAGGGTTTTAGCAAAAAAAAATTTAAATCTGCTCCCTTTGCTTTCAAAGACCATACAAGTGTCAGCTGTCAAATTTAAATCATAAAAAATAAAACTCAGGCATGAGAATATCTATGGCAAAGACATATTGCACACATTCTATCATCACATACACGATCCAACATTGGCATTTTTACATAAAAATCTATTGGGTACAAGGACTGCTACTGTCCCGTCCAGAATCTGCATTACTATCCCTATACTCCATCAAATTAACGCTAGATGTCGCCGTGGCATTTGAGTTACTGGCACTAGTCGCCAAACTGGCGATATCACTAAACCAATGGTTCAACCGTTCCGGTAGAACCGGAAGTGGTTTTCATATAACGTGCGCGGGCATCGGATCGTTCCGGAATTCGTCATTTTTCATTATAAGGCACACCGGCCTTTTAATCGTATCTGGACTCGGGGATCTTCTACTGAAAGCCGGTGGACACATATTGCACGGATTGGGACTGTTCAAATTTTGAGCTGCGATATTGTTTATGGGCCAATTAATATTTGGCGGATACAAAGGGTTATTGCTGTACAAAAGGGCCAGTTCCGCAGCGAATTTGGTTTCGTCCGGATGCCGGAAGGGATGATACAAATATGGTAATGGTGGAAATAGGGATCTGGATAATTTTAAATGATGTTCGGAGTCTGGGTTGAGTATGGACGGTAGGGATCCGGATGTTGAAATTGGTGTCATTAAGGATCTATGATTTTCGAGGGTGGGTGGTAGAAGGGGAGACATTGAGAAACCGAACTTTGGTTCTTTTTTCATCAGCGGTTTGGGTTTCCGACGGGGACGGTATTTGTAATCTGGATGTTCTTTCATGTGAAGAGCTCTGAAAAAGAAAAGTAAAAATTAGTTAAACTGACAACAAATTCTTTATCCATATATTTAACTTTTAGAAAAACAGTTAGGTTCCACAGACCTGACTGTTAAATTTATTAATTGTTGATACGATACAATGTCTATGTTGTCTATGTTTAATCTTATTTGGCAGAGTACCTGCAGGCTTATGATCGGTGTTTACCTAATTCATATTTCATATTACGGTAGAAAAGAGTATTGTGTTGTCTGTTGAAGGAGTACCTGATTTGCATTTTGGTTGCTGCCCCAATCATTTACAGCAAATCTTCATTCTTATTGAAATATTCATCGCCTAATCTCTGAGCTATGCCTCCCAACAGTTCATATCCAATTCTAGCGTGTTAGTGGGTAAGTATCCCATAATCACGAGTTTAACCTTTGATCTGATTTTGTCGACTATTTGTTAGTAATTATTATTAATAGCAATTTATACTATAACCTCTTAATACTTGCTTACATTGACACTCACGAAGTGAATGATTTCGTTATCAGCTCTGATTGTGACTTACAATTATTTTTATTTTCTTTTGTTTATGAGTAAGCCTACTCCAGAATGTTCCTTTTATCATGAAACTCCGCTATAAGAATATAAAAGTGTATTTTTTCGAAATCAATAAGTAAAACATACTGTTACGGTGCGCTTTCGCCAGGGTATACAGAATCCATGCCAAAAATTACAGAAAAGACTGCCTTGTTCAAGAGAGGGGATTATCGCATTTATTCTGGATTTTACAAGAATGGATTACAGATATATGAAGGCCGGTATAAGTTAGTAGTTTTTAAGTTTAAGATTGACTGTGATACGATTTAGATAGTGAATTTTGTAAGAGTTGTTTTTAATTAGTGAAGTATAATTAGTGTTAGAGTATGTAGTAACGTGGAATAAATTATTGTTGTGTTAATAATTGGACTTTGATTTTGGAATAAACGAACCCAAGATTTCTGACTCGCAAGCCAGAGCCGTGACAATACTTTCGGCAACAACTCATCCACCCACGGCAACGGTAGCCGCTTCACCTTTATCCGTGGGATTAGAATCAGATAAGACATCACTTTTACACAAAATATTCTTGCCTCCTCGTATTCTTCAACCATGCCAATCGATGCGAAGTATACCCTAGTTGATCTCTAAGTTAAAAATTCAATAAACAATTCTTGCACCTTTGTTGTCCAGGACATAGCATTCCAATCGGCCATTCTAAGTGTGTTCTTTTTCCATATTCATGTCAATATTGAATCAGTCCAATTCCCGGACACAATTTTGATTCTGAGCTGGGCTTCTTTCTACTTTAGCCTGGTTGACATGATTTTCAGAGATGATAGTAGTCAAATATTCAAATACCATTTATAATGAATAGACATTGTTATTTTCTCATTACCTATTTAGCTTCACTTTTTGGAGAACACCAATTAATGAATCGAAATAAGACACTGCCACAGTCATAGATAGGTACATCTCGAATTGGTATTCCAAGAAATTTGTTTCTTCATCCAGATGTTTGGTATCAATTTGCTTAACAATTAAGAACTGTTCCTCTATTTTTTGTTTCTGTTATCAAAAAAATTATCTACCCAGATTAATATAGTCCGGGGGCCGAGGACCTTTTTTTCAAATCATTAATAACAAGCTAGTTTTTTCAATGCAGTTTCATTTCAGCGAGACGCCCAACTTTTTTCTCAACGAAAATTGCGAAAACAGGTAGCTAACATACTGTGCAGGTGTAAAACATGTCGATTTGGTGACTATAAAAATGTAATCAATAACAGTTAGTTTTTTAGCTAAATGTTGAGATAATTTTATGAATAATTTGAAACAACCTTTGTCCTACAAAATAAAGGGTTTGGTCTACGATGTCCCCCCTTTCAAACATGTAGGAATTATGTTGCATAAAAAATGATTAATAACAAGTTGATTTTTTCAATGTAGGTTGGTAAATATTATTACAATTAAATGGTCACACTGTCCTACAAATAAACAGGTAGCTATTTTCAGTCCTACACTCAAAAGTTGTCGATTTCACGATTTAACTTTTTTCATTAATAACCGGCTAAATCTTCGTGAGCATCTTCATTTTGATAAGACGCCCAAATTTTCTTTTGCCAAAATTCCAAAAACAGGTAGCTAACAGAGTGCGCAGGTGGAAAACATGTCTATTTGGTGTTCATACAAATGTAAATAATAACAGTTAATTTTGTAGCGAAATGTTGAGATAATTTCATAACTAATATGAAACAACATTTGTCCGACAAAATAAATGGTTTGATCTAGGCTGTCTCCCTTCTCAAACATTTAGCAGATACGTTACATAAAAAATGATTTATAACCAGTTGATTTTTTTAATGTAGCTTAGTAAATATTACTACAATTAAATGGTTACACTGTCCTACAAATAAAGAGGTACATTTCTCCAGTCCTACACTCAAAAATTGTCGACTTCACGGTAATACTTCATTCATCAATCACCGGCTAAATCTTCTCGAGCATCTTCGTATTGATAATACGCCTAACTTTTCTATTGCGAAAAGTTGCAAAAGTAGTAGCTACTAAAGTGAGCACTAGTGAGCAGATGTAAAATACCTTGATTAGGTGATTATGCAAATGTAATTATTAACAGTTAACAGTTAATTTTTCAGGTGAATAATGAGATAATTTTATAAATAATTCTAAATTCGATTTGAGCCTCAAAATAAATGGTTTGGTCTGCAGTGTCCGCTTTCTCAAAAATGTAGCAATTTCTGGCTCATAAAAAACGATTTATAGGCAGTTGATTTTTTTACTGTAGTTTGGTAAATATAACTACAATTACACATTGTCTTAAAGAAGTAAGATTTCTCAGCCCTACATTCGAGAATTTCGAAAATAGCCTTATGCATATTATACGTAAATATGTACAGGGCTTTCATTTCAAAACTTGCCATCCACGTTATCTGCGTAAAGAGACAGATTTCTAGAAAAAAAGATTAAATTCAAGAATTTTACCTTTTGTATTTAAAAAAATATATTTATTAAAATATTTGATTTTTGATATTATTTGAAATTAACATATCTCTTTTATTTTTGAGCTGTCGAGAAAATATTATTTGGAAAACTCCTGTATTTTTTAAGTTCCACGCAATGATTCCACGTCATTTAAAAAGGAAAACCCCAACTTAGAAAACACCCTGTATATAGGGTGATTTAAAAAAGCGCGCCAGATTTAATACATTAAAAAAGGAGCTCATTTTTTTTTAATATCTTTAGAATTAAGATGAACCGGTTGGATCAAACCTTCTCAATTTAGGTATGGAAAATGACAAAGGGCATGGCCCCCTCTACTTTGATGGCATGCCAAAACTCTCTTTCGAGCAATTCAAATCTGGCGCGCTTTTTAAATCACCTTATACTACGATACTGTATTATTTACGAGCATGCGCGTCAATTCGTGTGTGTACAAACCCATAACACATATACTGTTATACACGCATCTGTGTATGTACATGTACATACAGGGGCTTTCATTTCGAAATTTGCCACCCACGTTATCTGCCTAAAGAGACAGATTTCTGGAAATCGCCGGAACATGTCAACAAATTAACGTAGGTACCCCCTCAATAAATTAATTGACGTGTTTCGGCGATTTCTAGAAATCTGTCTCTTTACGCAGATAACGTGAGTGGCAAGTTTTGAAATGAAAGCCCTGTACATATTTAGGTACGTATAATATGCATAAGACTATTTTCGAAATTCTCGAATGTAGGGCTGAGGAATCTTACCTCTTTAGGACAATGTGTAATTGTAGTTATATTTAGTAGTAAAAAATCAACTGGTTATAAATCGTTTTTTATGAGCCAGTAATTGCTACATTTTTGAGAAAGGGGACACTGCAGACCAAATGATTTATTTTGTGGCTCAAATCGAATTTCGAATTATTTATAAAATTATCTCATTATTCACCTGAAAAATTAACTGTTAACTGTTAATAATTACATTTGCATAATCACCTAATCAAGGTATTTTACATCTGCTCACTAGTGCTCACTCTAGTAGCTACTACTTTTGCAACTTTTCGCAATAGAAAAGTTAGGCGTATTATCAATACGAAGATGCTCGAGAAGATTTAGCCGGTCGGTGATTGATGAATAAAGTATTACCGTGAAGACGACAACTTTTGAGTGTAGGACTAAAGAAATGTACCTCTTTATTTGTAGGACAGTGTAACCATTTAATTGTAGTAATATTTACTAAGCTATATTAAAAAAATCAACTGGTTATAAAGCATTTTTTATGTAACGTATCTGCTACATGTTTGAGAAGGGGGACAGCCTAGATCAAACCATTTATTTTGTCGGACAAATGTTATTTCATATTATTTATGAAACTATCTCAACATTTAGCTACAAAATTAACCGTTATTATTTGCATTTGTATGATCACCAAATAGACATGTTTTTAACCTGCGCACTCTGTTAGCTACCTGTTTTTGGAATTTTCATAAAAGAAAATTTGGGCGTCTTATCAAAAGGAAAATGCTCACGAAGATTTAGCAGGTTATTAATGAAAAAAGTTAAATCGTGAAATCGACAACTTTTGAGTGTAGGACTGAAAATAGCTACCTGTTTATTTGTAGGACAGTGTGACCATTTAATTGTAATAATATTTGCCAACCTACATTGAAAAAATCAACTTGTTATTAATCATTTTTTATGCAACGTAATTGCTACATGTTCGTGGGGGGACATCGTAGACCAAACCCTTTATTTTGTCGGACAAATGTTGTTTCAAATTATTCATAAAATCTTTTTTAGCTAAAAAACTAACTGTTATTAATCAAATTTTCATAGTCACCAAATCGACAAGTTTCACACCTGCGCAGTATGTTAGCTACCTGTTTTCGCAATTTTCATGAGAAAAAAGTTGGGCGTCTCGGTGAAATGAAGCCTCATTGAAAAAACTAGCTTGTTATTAATGATTTGGAAAAAAGGGCCTTGGCC